GGAATATTACCCCCTATTTACGACCAAAATTATGTTACTTCGAATAAACTACTACGTGTACGTAATTTGGTCGTTAATGTGAAGCTACATATTTGGTCGTAATTCCGTAGTCAACTAACTTCTACTTTATGACCACTTTTTCATTTGGTCGTAAATTAGAGGTTAAGTTACTTCTACTTTACGACCAATCTTTGTGGTTCCAATTTTACTTCGATTTTACGACCATAAACTCTTTAGTTGTTCACTGGTCGTAAGGCAGACGTAAAATTACGACCACCATTTTGTGGTCGTAACTGTTGGTCGGTAAGCAAGCGTTTTGTTGTTTCTCGATATATCTAATTACTTGGTGTTCTGTATTGATAGATTTATTGTTATATTGTTCAATTTTGACTAATCTAAACTTCCTATCAAGTATTGAATCAAGCCTTTCAGATTCTTGTTGATTATCGAGGTGTGGTGGTTATTTATAGGTTTACTCCTGTATATCCTTTTTTTACGAAACACTTAACTCTTTATTTATAGGTTTACTCCTGTACCTCTTCTATTTAGAGGTTTACTCTTGTATATCCTTTTTTCTTACGAAACACTTACTCTTTTTTTTTTTTGTTTGCTAAAGAAACACTCTTGTAAATCAAACTCGTCATTTATATGATTCGTAACTAAAAATGGAAATGCATGTCTGTGTGTAGAAGGAACTGATAATTGATCGTGTCATAATACATAGAGAAACTAAGGTGGAATTCAGTTGCAAAAGAAAAAAGAAAAAAGAAAAAAGAAAAAAAAAACTAAGGTGGAACCGTCAAACCGATTTTAGTGTGCGTTTACCGGACCGTCGACGAAGGCGGATCGGGTCAGCCCTTGGTGTAATTCGACATTTGAACATTTAAGGATTTGATCAGTTACTTACTTTTGAGACATTAAACTGTCCTTGTGGAATTTACATTGGTGTTATCATACTCCTAATATATGTATAAATTTTTTTATATAACCTATTGGCTAATCCAGTGATGCACTTAGTGTTAAAAGTAGCTGAGATGACCAACTTAAAAGTGGTCTGGTTATCCGAGTTGGAATCTTCCTAACTAATGTCAAAAGGTTAACTAATGTATGTAATCATTGTGATCACTGTGTCAAAGGTCTCCAGTTTGAATAACCGCTGAGACGAAACTACTAACTAATGTCAAAAGATTAACTAATGTATGTAACCATTGTGATTACGTGTTATAGTTTCAGACCTCAAGGAATATTTACAAGTTTTGTCCCCAAACCTCCTAGTATTTAAAAAAATGTGTATAATACAATTAAACTTGTGTTATCATGCTCCTAATGTATATAAATATCATGATATATCATAAAATACTCACGTAAATTCAGTATTATTACTTAAATACAGTAGCGTGATGCTCCTAATCTCCACCATTAAATTTGATCCTGTTTTATTGCATGATACTGAAGTCAATGTAGAGTAATATAATACACAATAGTCTTTTTCGTATGTTAAGTAGACAATATAAATATGAAACTGATCTTGATTAGGTTTTGCAATATCGATCAGAAGTTGATAAAAGTAACTGAAATCCACCATTGTGATCACTTTCTTGGAGCATTTCTTACGATTTCGGATTTGAGAGAAGAAGAAGGATAGAAAGTCTTGCGGATCTGAAAAACATTCCATGCTGTTCCAGCCGCGTGACCCGCAGTTGCTAGTACGTCTCCCGTCGCCTCCCCTGCGTTCTCTCCAAACCTGCTTTGCCAAACGTGATTATCACCTCAAAAATCTCAATGTGCATGATCACTAGCTAGTCACATGTCATGAACAAGTGTTATACATGAATGAATAATCTCAAAAAGTTACCTCTCACTGACCATTCTGGTAGCAGCCCTGGATGTAGCAGATAGGGCTTGTCTCTCAGCGGCTTCAGTTGCATCTAGTATTTTATCTATTGGGTCAAGCCAAACATTATTTACATATGCTTAAATCTTTCACCCCATCACATATATTTTGTTTTGAGTTTTGACCTCAGAAAACATAATATTGATAGTTATTATCATGATTTCTCTATAACTTACTGAGGGCATCAAGTGAAGCCAAGAGAACCTCCCCTGGAACCATGGAGAAGAAAGCCTTCCCTGGTTTAGACTTCATCACCGGAACCATCACAGAGCCGCTCACAACTCCAGCACCATTCAACATTGTCTTGCTCAGCTGCTCTGTCGCCTTTGAAAGCTTCCTCACTCTAAACATATATTACATCGATCCAACAAGATATCAATAAGAACGAAAAACTTATGTCTCTACTATTTGTTTTGTGTTTGCCTTTGCGTTCACGTTAATATTTTCATCTTATTGTGTATTTTTTAAATGAATCCACAGAATCTTAAAAACAAAATATTGTGTTATTTACTAGTGTAAACGGTAATATAGTAAAGCGACGGTTGCAAAACATATTTTTTAGACAATATGTTCTACATTTCAAGGAAATGAAAAATATTCCTCATGTAAATGGAAACGCAAACGCAGAAATTAAATTTGGAACAATCGAGATTTTAACCAGATTAAATTTGGAACAATCGAGATTTTAACCAGATTAAATTTGGAAATACATTAACTAAAAAAAAGAAGTAAATACCGTTGAAGGTTTGTGTTGCTTCCATTTTTCTTCTCAGTACTACTGGAGTTTCCACTGTTGTAACCTCCATTTCTATGAGAGGAACCACTCTTCTCCTGGTCCGCCTTTGTAATCATTACTTCCCCTCCCTTTTGAACCTGTATATAATCATGAAACTCAATGACCATATCAATCACATATATACACTAATGCAGATAAGAATCATTCAAGAACATCAAGAGAATTCTTGCTTTCATATAACATACGACCATTTGGATTGATATCACACACATATATATAATCTTTTAATACTCCTTCCGTTTATTTGTTTTAGAATGTTCTAAATTAGAAAAGAAGTTATATATCTTTTCCTAGGTACATATACTAAACCATTTAGTCACAGTATTTGAATACCGACATAGTAACAAAACCAATCACAAAAAAAATATTACATAACAAAAGGTCACAAAATATGAATAAAGTCAAGTATGGCATGAAAACTTATAAAACATCTTATAAAAAAAGGAACGGAGTATGTATGAGTGTGATTAAGACCTGGTTGGTGTAAGCATTGCTGCAACTGAAGAGTCCTCTAATGATATGTCCTGTTCCTCCAGCAATAGCCTTAGCAACAACGTTGTTATAATCTTCAATCCTCGGCGCAAACTCTTTCCAGTCGATTCCATTGTTAACTTTACTCGAAGACGAATACGAGAAACAAGAGTTCTCCTTCAAGAACTCGTCAAGCAACTTCAAGTTATTCGCTAAGGTAACATCTCTTTCGTCGCCGGAGAAAGTGACTCCATAGCTAAGTGGATCACCGTCTTTAACCGGAAGCGTGAAGAGGTAGTCACGTGCGTCTAGTTTCACCACCGGCTCGTCTTTAATCACTGGCCACTGAAGGTCATGTCCGATTCTGACGATCATAGCAAGAGTCACGCCGTTGTCTGAGACTTTAACGAGCTTGAAATCACCGGAGGCGAGCTCCACGGCCTCGGACTCGTCGATGAGATGGACTTTACATGTCGGTATTTGTAATAGAATCTCTTCGGCTCTTACGGTTTGGTGTTGAGGATGAGGAGGTGGGTTTTGTCTATTGGTGTCTCGTTCTTGGTTTCTTGTTCTTGAAGATTTTGATGGTCCGAAACATCCCATTTTTCTTGTCTTGCTTTTTTTTTGTTCTTCTATCTGTAACAGTGACGTTCTCTTAAGAGGTTTTGTAATCTTGAAACAGATGATTAGATTATTTTGTTTGGAGAATATTTAACTTTAATTCATATCTTGTTTCTGAGTGAATATATTCTTGCTTCTACAGCTTTCCTCACTTTCGGTGGATATGGGAACAATATTTTACGACGTTATACACAATGTACACGTACGCTACACGTATACACACAAATACACGTACACGTGTATATGTTATGGTAAGTTATATGGGACCTAGCTAACTAACGATATGTATACGTCTATATGTTACACAACTATCAATGCTTTAGAGATTGGTCATGGGAAGTTGTTTTTTTCTGTAACATATTCATTTCTTGGAATTGATAGTACACAGATGGCCGGCTAGCTACATCAGGTTATTACATAATTATTGTACACTCCTTGCTAGCTGATCAACATGAACAAAAATTCTAGGGACTTAGTAATAGGAACAGCTATTGTTCTTGGACAAATTTAAAATGTCTTGGATTATGGCTGTTGCACAGTTGATGTGAATGTCTTGCTTTCTTTGTCCTGCTGGTAGATGATCCAAACTCTTTATTAGTTGTGCACAATCGCCTAGAAATAAATTTTTATTTGTTAAATAGCTAATAGCATGTCCTTTCTGCTATCAATGGTAAATTGGTAGAGGTGATTGCAGAGCTTCTTTGTCTTCTAAGAGTACTTTCTTTACTATTTAAGGACTACCCTATTCTAATCATATTGGGTTGCAACTAACAAGATAGCAGCTTATGAATAGTCTTTATGGCTTGATCTTGAAAAGAATTTGGATTAGTTGTTCTTGTGTCATAGACTTCGTACTCATGCGAACTTTGATTTTATGTATATAATTGTAGCTTTCAGAACAAGACAACAATGACCAGTGTGAACCTCAGCATCAAGACGGTGATGACCAATGCGAACCTCAGCATCGTGGTCCTTTAGCAAGAAGCCGACTCTACTAAAATTGACAACTTTGTCCATTTTCGAATATAATCCCAAAATTTAATTGATGCTTATCCAAATGTGACATCATGTTTAACTTGTTTTAACAACCAGGGAGAATATCATACCTTACAGGCTTTGCATTTTCATAGGACACTCAAAAAGAGAATTCAACCCAATAAAGACTACAGGGGGAAAAAAGCAGGTGGTGAAATATAGAATGAATCTGATTCCACATTGCTTGGTTAAAGAACTGTTAGGCTGACTCATAAGGATCAATACCTTCTGATACTTTCTACCAATACTCAATATAATGGTAAAGACAATTAAAACACACAAAACAAGGTAATAGTTAGGAAAAGAAAATAGAGTAATAGACTACTACAAGTCAGTTCACTTCACGTAGTAACAAGTATCTTAGCTATGATCTATATATTACACAGATTTAAACAATTTTCCATATACTTCCGATAATCTAACTTCAGCTGATGAATCTTACATAGTTTCTGAAGGGTCTACGATTTCAAAAGAATTTTTGGATCCGTTGTTGTGTAGCAACTAGCGTGTACTCCTCATCAAATAAGCTACCACGCATCCTAAAACAGCACCTGCTGCAACCTGTAATAATCAATCTCATAACTTAGCTACATAATCATTAACAACAGAACTTGGGGTAGTCTCTGTATATCAATACATGGGTAAATCTGATTCTAACATTTACTATGATACAGAGACTACCCAATTCTTAACCAGTTAGACTTGACTTAGACAGTATAGTTTGATACTTCAGAACAGAAGTCTTAGAATTACTGACGATGAGCTAGACAAACCTGGATCGGAGTGTGTCCAAGCAGTTCACGCAAGGGTTTAACTGTGGATAACGGATGCTCTGACGGAAACTCACAAACAATTTGATTCAGCAGCTGAAAATTTCCATTCAGTATAAGAAAAGCTTTTGGTTACTCAAAGCATGGAACAATCTACTAGATAATTTTCAGGAAAAGAAAGCAAAAACAGAGAAAAAAGGATTCATAAGTTAGTTTCCCAAAGATTTACCTCAGCTTGACGACCAGCATGAAGCCTGACCCCAGAGGCATCATACATTACCTGCAACCAATTTTACCAAAAAACATACCAAAGAGTGAGTAATCAACATGCAAGAATGGTTTGATTTTGATAAACAAAGAGGATATTGGCAAGTAAAAGTAATCAAAAAGTATGATAAAAACTGAATAGGTAGTTGAACAAAATCTCTTTTTTTCCCTACACTGAATGAAATATGCAGCTACTACATGTATATTAAGCGAAGCAGAGGTTCAAAAGTTCCAGAATCTAATAGACAAAGAAGAAACTTTTTGTGCCAAATAGCTCAATGAATGGAACAAGGAGGACACATAGTAAGAGGCATTTGAGGTAGAAAAACTCACAACGCAGGCCAAGACAAGAGCGATGGCAAAAGCAGGTGATCCAGCACCCTCTTCAAGGCCAATGGCAAGAGCTAAGGCAGTGACAGTAGCAGAGTGAGAGGAAGGCATCCCACCAGAACTAATCATCTTTTTAGAGTCCCATCTCTTTTCTTTGTACCTTCACATTCCAACACACACACATCAACCAAACAACTGAGAAAACCTACTCATAGAATCCCTCTTATCTCAATCTTAAAAACTCTATTTAGCTCTATAAAGACCTAAACTTTCAAGGTTCTGGAACCAACCCATACAAAAACAGAAAAAGGGTAAGCAAAAAGTTCTAAACTTTCAAAACAAATCAAATCGAAAACAAAGACGTGACAGTAAGAAAGTTGCCATCTTGTAAATAGCAGATCGGAGGAAAGGAGAGATTTGTACGGACCAATTAGTGAAGACTTTGAGGAACTGAGCGAGAGCGAATGCGAGAAAAGCGGATAGGATGGGAAGATTGTGAGGAAGCAGATTCTGCGACGAAGGAGATCCGTTCCTGTTTCCGCCGGCGTCCGCCACTGTCATCACCTCGTCCATTGGGCGTTATCTTTCAACCTCAACTACCCGATCTCTCTGCTTCGATCAATTAGGAAACTTTGAAAAGCTCAGATATTTTCGAGATGCACACACGATTGGGAATTTTTTTTTTTTTTTTAAGTTATAAAAACCTTCTTTTGTGTTATTCCGAGCTTTTGAAGGAACAACAATTTATATTCTGTTGTCAAAAATATTTATAGTGAAAGTAAAAAATTTATAGTGTGAAAGTATAAAATATATTTTCAAGTTGACAAATTACATTTTTATTTAATTTTTATTTTATTATGTTCCTCTTATGTTTTTGGGGTTCATAACAAAATATATATATATATCTATATATATAAAGAAATGTTCACTCCCTCTAGCCTATGCCACGTCACTAATTCGAATGTACTGGTTGTGACACGTGTCCAATAATCAAAACGCACCGTTCTATTACTTAACGAAAGGAAGGGAATTTTGGTGGGCTTATGTTTGTTAATCAGAAGAATTATAGCCCAAACCATGATCAGTGGCCCTCTTAAGTCTTCATCTTCGTGTTCTTCTCAGATCTAAAATTCTTCTTCTGCTTTCTTACATACCAACAATGGCGTCTGGAGAAATTGGATAACTGAAATCGAGATGGAAAGTCTCTTTGTTTGTCGCCATTCGGATCGTTTGAACTTCTACTCCTGACAACCGTAACCGTCCGAGTTACAAATCAGCGCCATTATTCCCTTCTTAACTCCACACACCGACGTGAAGCACGATCTGATTTTTATTATGAGTTATCCCTCTGCAAGGCATTTTATTCTACACCTATAAAAAAGGTTAGCTTTCTTCACATGAACATCACCCTCTCAATCCGTCTAACACCTCGATCATCTTCTCTGATTTGAAATCCGACCGCTGCTCCTCCACCGCTCAAGTGAGGTTGTGCAGGTTTTGGTTCCGTCTGATTTTATTGTTGTTAGGGTTTTTGTTGTTCGCTTTTGCTCTTAGGGTTGATGTAGTTCGGTTCTGTTCTTATAGTTTGGTATTTGATTTGTCGTTGGTGTTTGTGTGAATGTCTTTTCATTTAGATAATACTCCATAATAAATCATGGGTTCTTTTCTCATTCTATTAAAGTTACCAACACTCTCCTGCTTCTTTTTTTTCCTGTATTCAAATTTTTTTTGCTTGGTACCCTGAGCTTTAGATAGAGAGGTCTCTCTTCTTAGGAGAAGAAATGAATATTGTTGAGAGGTTTAAAGGGATCAAACACTAATTGGACTTGGACTCTGCACGCCTATGTCGCTGTATAAGATCTTTGGGTCACTTGGTTCGTTTTATGATTGGAGGGTTGTTTTCAAGATGTTTTCTGATTGATCTGTGAGTTTATTCTCTTTCGCTCAGATAATACTTTGATCATTTATCCAGCTCAGTTAAGTGAAGTAGGCCAACTATTAATAAAAAATTGATGTTTTTCTAGAGGATGCAGTTATGTTTGTTTCTTTTTTCAGCCTCTCCATCTGATTTTTCTTTCTCATGTTACAGTCGTTGGGTAAAGCCAAGTCTTTCAAAGAGGTAAGCAAAAATGGTGTTATGCATCTGAGTTTGTTGAGCTTTTTAAACATATGATCATCGTGGTTGGCCTGTAATGTTTTATCATGCATGTTTCAGGAGTATAGGAGTAAGAATTATAAGGTTAAATAAATAAGAAAAGAGTTGGACGATATACTGAAGGTAAACACACAAGAGTAGGTGCTAATGCACCCAAAGTTTGTTGATTCTAAAAGGAGATTTTGTTGTGTTTGATCTGTAAATGATGACTTCTCATGCTTCACATCTGTAGGGCTGAAGTGGCTAAGGTGAAAGAACTTAAAATAGAACTTCAAAAAGCCAACCAACTTGAACCTGTGGAAACGCGTTAGGAATAGAAGGATGAGCCAAGGTCATGCAGTCATAACTTTCAATGTGCATGCCCAGATAACTCAGCGCGTTATGGCAAACCTTGGGTTAACAGGTATTTTCTCTATCTTAGACCTATGTTGATGTTTTCTTTTCATTTTGAACCATTAATCTAATTCCAAACGCATAATATGGTCCAATGCTCCGTTGCTGTACGACTGTCAGTTGTATATGGGAGGTGTTATACTACTGAACCTCTCTGTTTCAACTGTTTACATGTACTTATATTCTGACGCATATGCTATTTGCAGGCTGCCAATTCCCAAATGCAATTTCAGGGACCCATTTGTACTTTTGGCCAAGACACACGTGCAAGTCTGGACTTCTTGACTGTGTAAGTTGTTTAAATGTGATTTTTTGCTTGCAACTAAAGAAATATTCGCACTGCAGTTTGGGTGAGCCTGAAATGAACTGCTCCAGAAGTTCAACAAAGTATAGGAGTGTCCAGAAATTGAAAAGGGGACAGTATCTGAGCTAAACACTTATGTCCTCCATTCTCTCCAACATGTGCATTCTGATCGTGGCCCATTATGCTATATATATATATATATATTATCCCTTCTCTCCACCAGAAAAGTAGAGGCTATTGAAACAACCGATGGGTGGTGCTACATTTCCTACTCCAAATGTTCTATGAAAGTTCAGCTTAGTTTTTCAGGGTTAACCTGAAACTCATGTGATGACTCTAGAGCTATTTGCCTTTCATTTTGGCTCCTCTCGCCTATTTCTTGGAAAGGTTCGATATTTGATGAAAACATGTGTTTACGACGTTTTACATCTTTAATTGATTACTTTCTTTTGGTCCTTACCTTTTTCCAACTTAAACTTTAGCGGTTTTGATATATAAATGTTTGGTTTATTTCACTTGATCAACTCCGCAACTAACTCATTACCTTACAGAAACAAAGAAAAAGAGTATTTGATAAGTCCATAGTCATAACCTCTATTCCGTTACACACTCTCAACAACATCATTATTACAATTCTGGAGTTTTACTATAATATGATGAAAATTAACTTCTATAAGCTAAAACAAATTCATACTGAGATCTACAAATAATAAACTCATTCTAATAGTAGATAAAGTCACTGCTACAATATAGCGAACCAGTGCGACACATGTTACTATTACAAACATATTACCAAAAATCTTTTCATCAAACCACCATCTATCCTTCAACACTTATGCAACATTTTTTACTACGCAAATTTCAAAAAAAAAAACTGCAAATCTGCAACCAACAAACAGAATAGATGTCCAAAACGAAAATCAATGCTAAGTAAATAAACTTAGAGACCATCTCACAAGAATAACAAAAATATATGTCCCGCGCGAAGCGCGGGTTTTTCCTAGTATATAATACAACAAGATTACCTTGTATATATATATATATTATGATTTGGTGAATAATGAAATTGATTATTAATTGGAACTAAACAGTGATTAATTCCAATTTTTTAAATTAAAGTTCTTAGTTTCGGATAAGAGATGGTTTTTAAATTTTAAATAAAAAAATTAAATCTATTTTTAAATTAAAAATATAAAATCCTTTGTTAAGAATTAGGATTAGTCATGCCCTCACTATTGGTTTCAAGAGATCCGCTGGTATGTCTTTTTGAGCTGCGTTTAGTAGTGGCCCCTAAATCCTGCCTATTATCAGGCGTCGGTTCCTCCACAAGTTGCATAGTGGACCACAACACAACCATCTCATCCCCGAGTTATTGGCCGCCTTAAACATTAGATACATTATACATACGCGTTTTAAAGATTTATTTCAAGTTTAATTCGACGCTTATGTGCCTTCCAACATTATCTCTAACCATTGCATCCTTAAACAAAAAACACCCATTTTGCTACAGAGCAAAGACAAAGGTTTAGTGCTTCTTCTTTCATTATAGTCATACGACGCTGATATTGTCGAAGTCAAATTAATTATTATATCTCTGTAATATTATCTGACAAGTCAATTTCCTGTGTGTCGCTCTCACGTTCGTTCTTACGATGGTTGATTACATTGATACCTTTAATGAATTAAAAATAATTAAAATAGTATTATTAATTTTTTTATTTAGTTTCCTTTTCAAAAATTTCTAAAAATATATGTAATAAAAAGGAAAATTTTATAAAGTCATTAAAAAATATTGAAAACGAAAAATATATGTATATATAATATGATTTCATAAAAAAGGAAAGTTCACAAAATAGTAATAATACATTTAAAAATATTTATAAAATAACATAAAATATACTTTTAGAGTAATAAAAATATTTTATAATTAGTATTATTGAATTTTTTATTTTTTCATATATTTAGTTGACTATAATATCTTTCAATTACAGAAAATTATCTATAAATTATATTTTACTTATAATATTATTTTCAAATACAATCACAATTTTATGTAGTGCTTATTTTTAAGAGATATTAAAAAAAAAAATTTAACAATAAACATCGCTTGATCAAATAATTTTATCATTATTAAAATTATTTTTTTTTCTTAATATTCAATTTTATTTTAAATTTTAAATTTTTATGTTTGTGAAACTAAATATAACCATAATCAAAATACCAAAGAAAATATGAATTTTCCAATTTTAAGATTATTTAAAATAAATTTCAGTTTACATTCAATAAATCTAAAGCATAAAGTTATTTAGAATTTATAAATATTTTAATTATTGTAAATATTGATATGTGTTCATGAGGTTCCAAAAATGTATCAACTACTTATGCATGTAGCCTTTTATTGATCAAAGGATAACACAAAACATATTAACAAATGAAAATAAATATTAACCAACTCTTACAATTTTAGTTCTTTTGTAAATTTATATATATGTATGAGGCTTTAGAATATTGTTGTTATATTAAATTACGTATTTTGGAATCAGACACTTTAATTAATTGTTAATTCATTATAAGCACAATATATCTTAAGTTATACATAATTTTACTAAAATATATTTACATATCTAAGACAACACCCACTATATGCAAATATGTAACTAATAAAAAATTATAAAAATATTACAGTCGAATTCAGAGATGCAATTCAATTTATCCAAATGATAACTAAATCAACCGTAAAAACAACAAAATCGAGTAGATATAACATATATAAAATTAAAGTATAATTAAAGTAATATAATATTATTAATATAAATGATACATACAAATTATAAATTAATTGAAAATTAAAACTAAATAGTAATCAATTATTATCATATATTTACTTTAAAAATATTTAGCACGGAAAAATCACCTAGTAGAAGAATATATAGAAATCAACAGGTGACATGCACAGTTCGTAAAGGAAATATACATATACTGAAGATTAACAAAATCAAATCTTGAAGTTAAAACCAAAAACAATCATTTCTATAAACAGCAAACCGCAAACTCTACCGACCAGACATAAGGCTGACAATATCATCGTTTTGGAAGTTTGCGACGTCCCAGTTTCCGGTTGACGAAAACAGAGTAGATAAAGCAACCACAATGTATCTCATACTTGGACGTAGCTGCGCATTCTCTTGCGTACAAGCTTTCCCTAGCTCCGCCATCTAAACCAAAGCATAAACCACACATCATTGGCTTGCATCTTGGTTAAGATAAACCGGATTGGACGCAAGAAAAGATTGATTTACCTTATATACTGAATCAAACGGATAGTTATCACCAAGCCTCGGGTCGATAATCTTCCGTAGTGCTTCTTCTTTGTCTGTCTCCTTGAATACTTCTTCAAACTGCATCACAAACAAAGCAAATGTTTAAGTGACCCTAAATGTCTGCAAAGAAGGAAGGTTGAAGAAGCAATACTAGTACTACTACTACTAACCACACCAACAAGGCCTCTGAATTCACCACTAGCTTGGTTCAACTTCACAACCGCTGCTTTCGCAGAGATCAACTCGTAAAGGACAACTCCAAATGCATATACATCTACTTTCGCAGACACTTCTCCATAAACAATCCTGCAGTTTGCATATTAATACCATCACTATAATGATATACATACAAATATGTAGAGAGAGACATGAGTTCAAGTTCTTTACTCAGGTGCCATGTAACCAAATGTACCCATTGCACCACGAGTTGCTGAGCTTCCCACTTCTGTTAGTTTTGTTAAACCGAAATCAGCTACCTGTTACACTCGTAAAAGACTCAGTGCCGTGAACAAAGCAAACACATAACAGTTTGAGTTGGTAATAAGAAGATTGAGAAAGGACCTTTGCTCGGAATCTCTGGTCTATCAATATATTGGCGGATTTAATGTCCCTGTGAACATAAACTGGAACCGTGTGCTCGTGGATATACTCTAAACCTCTAGCTGAATCTAGCGCAATCTGCACTCTCTTAGTCCACGGTAACGGTTCACGTCCTGCTTTACGTATAAACTCCTTAGTTTTTTTTTTCAACATTGATCACAAGTTTCACCTTATTAGTAGTATTTGTGTGTACCTGATCCATGTAAATGTTGTCCAAGGTTGCCATTCTCAACATACTCATAGATCAAGAAAAGAGATCCCTCTACACAATAACCAATCAGACGAACCTGCATGAAGAAAAAAAAAACAAGTCTTGTTGTCTGCTCAAGAAGATCTTTTATCTGACAGAGAAACACAGTTTAGATTTACCAGGTTGACATGATGTACACGTGTTAAGACTTTTAGTTCCGCCAAGAACTGTTTTGATGCCTCCATATCCATCTTCTTGATTGCAGCTTTCTACAGATACACAGTAAATAGTTGTTCAATTTCAATGTAGATTAAAAAGGATGAGAAGGGAATCTCTGCTTACTTCTCCTCTCAGCTCTGCATAGTAAACAGCACCAAAACCACCTTGCCCTATCTTAAAAGACAGATTGAAATTATCAGTAGCCTTTGCCAGCTCCTCCAACGTAAACTCAACAGACTTGTCCACGCTTATAGCAGCAATGCCAGGAGCAACTCCTGTACCAACCAAGTCTCCACTTTGGAGGCTAGCTGCAGATTCATAAACTTACTAAACACACTCCACCGCAAAACATATAAATACCTTTGGTACATATTATCCATCACAAAACTTACCCTGATCAACCTTGGAAGACAACGGGATAGAAGATGAAAGCGAATCGTGCTTCTTGTTCTTTCGGTAAGCATAGTAAATGACAAAGGATATCAACAACAAAGCCACCAACACTCCTACACATATACCAGCAATAACTCCAGCACCAATACCACCTGCTTATGCAATTATGTCAATAAACATTTTTCTTCCTTGCTGCAATCAAAAGCTCAGAAATGGAGAGAAGAACCAACCTTGTTTACTACAAAACAACACAAGAGAAGGAGAAGTACATCAGTTCATAGAAATCAAAAGCAGTGACAGATAAAATGAACCCAACAAACAAAACCTACCTTGATTTGAAAGGTGGGAATGTACCGTTTGGATCTGCAGCAAGAATGTTATAACAAATGAGACAAGATAACGATTAAACAAATGATAACCAAGAAAATGAAACGAAATAGAGATTTAGGCTTCGAATGTTTTTGTTACTATTAAGATCCCACCGCAGAGCATATTACTGGACCCTTAATGTGGTTTACCAATTAAGAGATTTTATTATAAGAGGCTAAATGTATATTTTTCGGATTACATTAGGTAACAAAAACACAAAGATATATATAAAAGAGTACATATTCTGATTTAAAAACTCTATTGCTAACGGATTTTCTAAGAATCCACAATACATCATTATAAACCATCTCAAAAGTGAGAAAGATCATTACCTTTCCCCGGAACAAAGACAATCCCATTCCCTGACCGGAAATTAACACCAGGGTTATACCTCTGAATAACCTCCGCCGGCACACCGGAAGAACTCGCGATGGCGTCAAGACTATCTTCAGGACGAAGCGGGTACGTAACGAACAACCCGTAATCCTTAGACACACTCTCGTTACCGCAAGAGCAGTTCACCAACACTCGAAGCGTCGCCGCGGGAGGGATGTTAGTCGCCGGAAAAGGGTTGGTCCTCTGCAAAACTTCCTCCGTCGTGAGGTTGGCGTAATGGTCAGTCGCCACTTTTCCATAAGTGTCTGTTGATCGGACAGCGTATGTGAAGACGTGGGCAAGGAAGTCGCCGGGTTGGCACTCGCAAGGGAAAGGGACAAGAAGACGAGAACCCATCTGGATCGTGTCTTTGTTTGGTATGCTGGGGTTGTACCTGAGGATCGAGTCGAAGTTGATTTCATCGTAAGGAGCGGCGGAAGAGTTGAGGTTGGCGTTGATGGTGGAGAGGGTTGTTCCGTTTTCGAGGTAGTATGAGGCTAAAGCTATGTCGCAGCTTCCACTGCATTTAGATTCGACCGTGAAGAACAGAGATGACGTTGAAAAGAGAAGGAGAAGAGGAAGAAGAAGAAGAGTAGCAATTCGAATCCGTAGCTCCATGTTTGATTCGTAGAGGTGGTCTCTGTGTTTTTCCGTGTGCTATGGGGAAGAAGAGAGATGAGATGAGATTCAAAGAGGAGGGAGGTTGACTAATTCGACGTTGACTATATTCAACTCAGGGAATGATGATATATTAATTTTAATCGGCGCTGCTAATTAGTGGAAAAGTTCTTTGGTTTTTATTAAGATCAACTAAAGCAAGTTTTGCCTGTTAAAATATGCAAGTCTTTGGTCAAGAATCACACGAAGACGGCAACTTTTCTTGAACGAAAGTGATAATGTGAACGGATCATCAAATACATTTTGATTCTTTATTTTATTTTCCGGTTTACTACATTATTGTCTTTTTTTTTTCTATAATTTGTAAGAGTTTTATTGGTTTGACTTTGCTTCCTCTTTGAGTGTTAGCTTTTGGTATTAGTTTTTTTCCTATAGAGTTACTATATCATTTTATAGCCCAGTATAAAATTAATCTAAAAATATTTAGACTATAATTGGATCAATACCTACTTACATCTAGGTATTTATATTAACTTTGAAAATTTGGACATTTTCGAATATAATTTAATATCAGTATTTGTCAACTTAAATATCCAAAATATATAAAATCATGTATATTATCTAACAATCCAAAATAAAAATATATGTAAAACTTATATATATAGCATAAATAACTAATATATAATTTTTCAAATCATTAGTCTAGATAAAATGACCAGCTGGAAAAATCTGCAGAAGAAATTATTCCGAAACTGTGAAGAAGGAAAAATAGATACATTCTGACAGAATTTGATCCAAAAGATTAAATTAAACGAAATAATTATACATTTGTGTCTCAAGAACTATCCTTGTAGTTTCTTACAGTACATATATGTTGTTTTGCCCATTCCCAGAAGAAGATGATCACAAGCAACCAACAAGTAAACCCATACAAAAATAACTTGTTAAGTATTCAATGATGACAACTGAGATACTTCACCCTCCTCTCTCTCTCTCTCGAATATCTTCTTGGTTGCCTCAAGAAAACCGATTCAACAACTCAAACCCGAATCTATATCGTTACCATTAAAGTATAAGCTGACATAACAGAGCAGAAACCACAGTACCTACCCTGAGGACTCAGAGCTGCTTGCAAGATTCACTGAGGACACAAATCTTGGGACCAGCTCTGCTTCGTTGGTCTTTAAAGCCGCCAAATCTTCTAACCTCTTCCATGTTCTTTCCCGATTCCCTTTAACCTCTGTTTTATTCTCTTCTTCCACTTGGAATTTAGCTAAACACTCATCAAAGAGAACATGGTCAATGTCGGAGAACACTTTCCTCACGTTTAGAGTCAGAGTCTTAACCGCTTGGTTCCAATGTCCACGTGTGTTCCTCTCAAGAGCTGGGAAGACTATAGGCATGATCACTTTATAGTTCTGAGTGATCAGGTTTCTTATGTGATCGTTGTTCCATAAAAACAACGCTCTCTCAGCAACCTAACAAAACAAATACACAACACTTCCTTACAGGTAACAAGACTTTTGTCTAAAATACGAAAACTAAAAGACCGAACCTGGAAATGTGAGCTGTTGATACAACGAGCAATTTGTCGGAACAAAGGGACCATACAACGCTGAAACTCAGCTGCTTGAGTAGCTTCCAAAACTTCTTCTAACTCACCAAGAAACATTACTTCTTTGGAGCTGTTAGTCACAGGCCAGTACTTTAAAAGCCCTCTAATAATGCAATCCGCGAGCTTGAAGTCTTTCTCCACAAACTGAACAATGCAATAAGAAAGCTGCTGGTGATAGACCGATGCGCATTTAGGCTTGTGGAGAGGAATCAAAGCTCTGACAAGGAAGAGCTTGTGCTCTTCTTTTAAAGGCAAAGCAAAACCATTAATTATACTTCCAAGAATCTCCAGCAACTCTGCAATGCCGTTATGCTTCTCAGTCTCGGAGATGAACCTGTAGAAGATATTGTTTATAGCCTTTCTGATGTAAGGCCGATGCACCATGAACTTCCCGTAAACGCGATGCAGAATGGTTTTCAGATACTCCCTCTCTCTCTGATCCTCAGAATCAAACAAGTCCAAGAGCTTCAAGACGAAGGAGTGGTCTATATATCTCTTTGCAAGCTTTGCGTCAGTCATGGGAGAAGCCACGAACCTGAGAAGAATCTCGTAGACAACTTGAATGTGAGGCCAAGCTGGCTCCAAGGAAGGCTCCTCATCTTCCATATCATGCATCTCCAGGATCTTAGTCTCGTGATTCGCTGAAGGAAACGTTCTGAACAAATTCACAGCTACCATCTTCGTCAGCTCTTGGATTGCAACTTCGTTAAACTTCACAGCAACTGATGCAACGTAGTCAACTAGCTCGAGGAGTGTCTGCCTCTTAATCTCTTTCTCTTTAAGATTCTTGGAGTGGTCGGTGAAGTCGAAGACAACGCAGCACATGGTCAGCTTCTTGATAAAGAGATTAGGTTTCTCGGAGATGGGAACATCTCTGAAGCTAGGTAAGGCCTCAAAGGGTCCAGATTGAATGTTCCTGTCAGAGTTAGGAGCAAGAGTGCCATTTGGTACGCGAGAGCCAGAAGAAGCTGATGGATTTGGGGCGTAGTAGGAGTTAACAGCTCCTTCGCCATTGGAGTCATTGTTTGATGACTTTGAAGGCTTTTTAGGCAGCTTCCCAAATATCTGTTTGATCATATCTAAACCCTTTTCGCTAACTCGCTAATCAAAGCTGAGATTTCAGCTCGTTAGGTCACAAAGTTTCGAACTTTATTGGCTAAGGATAACCAGATTCGGTTTCTGAATGAAACCCTAGTTTCAGTTCATTGAAAGAGCTGGAACCCTGAACCCAAATCACAAGCGAACACACGATGGATATAAACGTTTCAGAACACAATCAAGCAAGCAAATCGAGATAAGAGACGAATTGAAGAGGAGGAAAGCTTACATTTTTGCAGATGGGTTAACGAGAGATCTATGCAAACCCTATAAAGATACAAGCTTTAGCGACAAGGATCTGGTGATAAACCCTAACTCGCCCAAATTGAATCGAGCGAGAGAGAGAGAGAGAAGAAGGCAAACGAAATCCAGACAGACAAAAAAAATCTGTAAGACAAAAAGAGGAAAAAAAATTATTTTAAGACAGGCTTTAAGGTTGTAATGAACAAAAATAGAAGACTAATCGTCCCTCTCCCTATCCCTCTCCATGGATTGTTACTGTTAATCCATTTACACTTATCAGAGGAGATCCAATAACAACCTGAAGATCCAGATATTTTTCAATTTTAATTGTTTTTAATATATATCACAAAAAAAAAAAGAGAATAGAGAGAGAGAGAGAGAGAAAAAAAAATCAAATAACATGGGCACGCACGGTTTTGACAGGGTGGCAGGTAGGGGTGGGACGGATCGGATATCCGGGGTATTTTGGGATATCCGGATCCGGATCCGGATTCGACGGATCCGTAAAATTGATATCCGGATCCGGATTCGGGCCTTCCGGATATCCGGGATTCGGATATCCGGACTAAAACTCGAATACCCGCGGATATCCGGATCCGTTTTTTAAAAAAAAAAAAAATTAAAAAAATCAAAATTAAATTTAAAATTTTAAAATTAAACATATATTTATTCAATTAAAAATTTATTTTTTTTGCAAAAAAGTTTAAAAAACTAATAAAAATTAATAAAAATAAGTTTTAGATATTTTAATAAAAATTATATATAATATATCTATATAAATTTAATTATATTTTAAATATTTTAAAAATATTTAGTGGGCCCGGATCCGGATCCGGATATCCGGACTAAAATTTTCACTATCCGGATCCGGATCCGGATTCGCCGGATCCGCAAAATCACTATCCGGATCCGGATCCGGACCCTCCGGATACCCGTTTTTTCGGAGCGGATCGGGACGGATCCCGGATCGGATAGCGGATAGCGGATATTAAGTCCCAGCCCTAGTGGCAGGTGAGTAAGAACTCACCAATGTTACTCCAGAGTAAAAGGGGAGTTAATTTGGTCAAATTCCATACGAGTTTTCTTGTATAAATTTGATGACTGCAACTTATTATAGGCACACTCACCAGAAGTCAAGCGTATATACCATATTCTATAAGTCTATGACTTTTACTTTTGAAAATCTGCTTTTCTCTAATGGATCAATTGTTGACCGATTATCTGGGTCAAAGTTGAGGGTCAAACACTCAAAACTTATCCTAATTGATATATATACTGAATGTCACTACAGAATTAAACTTAGGCCATGTCCAACAGTAAGATGATATATAAACAAATAAAACATTATAGAATTCAAAAAGTATGAGAGATAAAAAAAAAGGGAAAATTAGAAAATTAGGACATTCTCAATTTGGATTTGTCCGTATAAGACTTTTAGAAGATTTTTTGGGAAAATAGGATTTTCAAATCTGTTAATACCATAATATCCTTAAAATTAATCAACTAAGTGAAATTATAAATTTAAATTATAAATAAAACAAAAAAAAAAATTGGAATCGGGACACATGGTTTTGTCTGCCACGAAACTCCACTCGTCATTGCAACTAGACATCCATTCACCGGATTTAACATAGATTAGAACCATCTTGTATTGATAAGAAGAAAAGATGAAGCTTTTTTATGAAGAAGGTAGAACACACAGAGAAAACAGAGAAAAAGATCGTGAGGAAGAGAGAAAATCGTGGACAAAATATTCTCTAAGATATTTAGGAAACATCTTTAACCGAATATGGAAGTTTCCATATTTTGCGGATTACCTAGAATATGTATACTACCTAAGGCAGAACACAGTAGAAAAGGTGGGAAACGTATTCTTTCTCAAGCGTCACATAAGGTAACATGCAAAATTGGTTATGGCACAAAATCTGGATGAGGTATGTCAATAAGTTATGACTATAAATCGGTATCTAGCTTCACGTACACCAAAGACATATGCCTTGATTATAACGTTACCAATACTACCTTGGTTAGAATAGACAAGAAATGTTATATTACGTTTCATACCTCGGGTCTATTTAGCAAGAACACCCACTATATGATTTCTAAACTGAGTAGATAACCAGAATGAGTATTCTATCTGTAGCTAGAAGATAAAATAAAATATGATTCCACTTTTAAAAAAGAAAAACTGAAACATATATGTTGTCATACTTATGTTTTCTAGCCTTCTCATATTTTTTTTCTATTTTTCAAAATTAGTTTTCTATTTTTTTCATTAATAAAGGGTAAAACATGTCCAGAATTGCCAAAAGTATGAGAAGTCCTATATGAACAAATAAAAGTTCAAAGTGTCCCAATTTTCCAATTTTCCCTAAAAAAAATTAACATTATGTATCTCATTTCAGTGATAACAAAAATTTATCTTAAATATGGAGACACTTATCCTCCTTTTAAATCATTAGCTCCAAATTTAAATCTAAATAACTAAAACTAAACAGATTCAAAAATACTAATATGTTATTATTCAGATCCTCAATTTTGTATTTCTACGGTTGAGTTTGCCATTATGTTCTTGAAAATGCTAGTATTTTCTGGCTGAGAACAGAGTTAGAGATACCAGTCTTCTTGATGGTTTAGTTAGTTAAGTAATAGTATATGAGGACTATTGACACCCACAAGAAAAGTCCATCATACGGTCCAATAAGAAGTTCTAGTGAATCATGCAACTAGAATTTGTAAGCTTATATATATGTGTGTGTGTGTTCAAGAGTGATGAACGTAACTTTGGCTGCATATCAGCCATATACTCTGTAAGTTTGAAATATAATCATTGTATGTTTTGTTTTTTAAGGAAAAACTAAAGTCTTTCATTTATTTATATTCTTTGCACAGTAAAACTCATTTGAGTTATGTCTTTATATCTTTAGTTTACGTGTCAAAAAAGTTTATAAACCATAACTCTCTTATACACAAATACTTTCATGGTATCAGAAACCACAGTGATTCATGGGTGTTTTCTATTCTCACGCTTCTGTGAGAAGACTGGTTCTTCAACAATAAAAATAGAACTTTGTCTGAGAAAGAAGAACTTGCGACCAAGACAAATCATCTCAACACTGTCCTGGCCAAGCTTCTCAACACCGTCTCTTTCTATTACTAAAGCTCTAGAATTGCAAAGATTGTTAGGTCCATAACTGTTCATCGTGACGTTTCTAATTTAAGCTATCAAGAAAAGTCTCGACCAAGACTTAATTACTTCAATGTCAACTCTGAAATGTGTCCAAACAAGCCCATGTCAATATGTCATGTATTAAGATGCTTCTTCATCACTATAGCCAAGGTATGTATGGTTTCTCATCTGAGATAAAACAAGGGATAGAATTTGAGAAGAACATTGCTTAGTGGTTTAGAATAATAAGCTGGTGGTCGTGTGTTGGATTGAGTTTGTGGTCTGGCTAAGATTTATAGCTTGGAATATGAAATTGAATGCTTGTTTTTTCTGCTAAAGATAGGTTTACGGCAGCAAGTTTCTGATTTTCGATGAACGTAGACAAGATACCCTACTAAATGTCTAAGAGAAAGTCAGGTGTTGGTTAAGTTTAATACTGGTTTATGACTGCAAATTTTTGGTTTGTTGAGCACATGTCAATGTTTTGTGAAATACCAGAGAGAAAACAAGCTCACGGTTAATGGATATGAAACGATGAGTGAGTAAGATTGGGGTGGAAAGAGAAGCTTCTTCTTCATGAGACATATTAGAAGAATGAAATAGGTAAATGAAACCTAGCTTCATAGTGAGACAAAGGTCATAATTATACCTCTAAGGGAGATCAACTAAAATCTCCAAGTATGAAGAGAATACCTTTGAGTGAGTCATGTGATACTCACCATGCATAAACCTGAATATTTCTCACACTAAGTTTGTTCTCCATGGTGAAGAGAGCCATTTTCCTACTTCACAAGCATCCTACTTCAACTCTACACTTCCAATCCAGCTTCACTTGTGCTTTCAAACTAAGCGCAGCTGTTCCATCCACACTAACTTTACGGGGGAGTACTGAATACAAGAAAGGTCCATCATATGATCCGATAGGAAGTTCTAGTGAACCAAGTAACTAGGGTATTAAATCGGAAGTTCTCTCTGCTAATCTGAGCTGGATTGATGTGCTCTCTGCTAATCTGAGCTCGATTGATGTTGTTGGCTCTGCACGAACTACCACTTGGTTCATTACTGGTAGTGGTTAGAAAGTCTGATGATGACTGTGACTCAATGGATACATATATGGATATATATATATATATATATAACTGATCTATTATGTTTTTGACACATTTAAGAATATTTTCTAAAGGTTTTCGAATCTTATCGAGTCTTTTCAGTTCTTTTCGAGTCAACTCAGGTCTGGAGTTGACTTTGATGGAATGTGGATCACTTAGAGAAAAAGAGGCGGAAAGAACACAAATTGGAGATTTTTAGCAGCAGAATGGAGCAGCCGTTCCAACGACTGAGATTTTTAAGGAAATTTCCAATATTTCAAGATTTGACCTAAGGATGCCCATTTTTCCTCCTGGAGCCGCCACAGCCCTGCAAGATATCTTTTCTTATTAGTCTTTTTATCAGACTTCGTGAAGTTACACAGAGAGAATTTTAGAGAGAAAGAGATATTTAGATTTTGTAAGATTGAAGGGAAAAGGATATGTACACTCTTAAGAAGACTCATGAACCCTTTCGTTATTCTATTGCAATCGTTTATCATATCTTCTTCATCTATTATATGTTTTCTCTGTTCATGGATGAGTAGTCGATTTTTAGGTTTAGGGTGTTAAGGATTATGGATTAATGAGCTAGACACAAATACGGTTGTTAATCTTTAAATCTCTATATATTGCTAAACTTATTGCTTGTGTTAAATTGGCCATTTAGCATCTGAATCTAGGTTAAAGATAACCATAAAAAAAAGTTTAGGTTGCTAGCAAAGCATAGATATGCACTTAGTCCTTAGCCAATGAAGGCTGATGTTAAGGCAAATCGTAACCCCATTGAATCAAATCTTAAAACTTTTCATCATTCTCTAATTCAAAAGAAAGTTTAGATATTATAATTGCTTAATAAAGGGATAGACACCACAACAGTGGGTTTATCTAGTCTTGTTGTTCAACTTAAATATTGGCTCGTATTGTTCCTGAATAGTTATGTAGCTCATGCTCTTAAATATCCTGATGAATTTCCCCAAACCTAACTCTTTTATAATCTGAAACCAAACCATCTCTGTTTTCTTGCTTATTTTCTCAGTCAATCGAATACTCTTAACTTAATATCGAACTTATAAAATAA